TCCAGGAGATTTTCTGTCAGCCCTGGAAGCTGTTATCCCGTGACCCATTGTCTGCACGAGCAGACAGGAGACAGGGACATTCCTGCATCTGTCTTTTCCTGCTGCCCTGATTTATTACGCCGTAAAATAATAAAACGTTAAAAAGGTTGAACCTGAACTGAAGCTATGACTATGACACTATTAATCAAACTGCTGGAGAATTACTTTATATTTGGTGCCTTAAGCACTGATCCAGTCCACCAAAAGTTGGCCTGAAACGTTGTCCACAGCCTTAGCCCTGGCCTGGGAAAAGCAGCTGCGGGTGTCTGTGCTCTCCTTGGTGTGTGGCTGTGCAGGCAGGGCTGGCTCCTCAGCCTCTCCTGCCCCATCACTGCCTCTCTTATCTCAGCCGTCGATGCCACGCTCAGCTGATGTCTCAGTTCTGGAGCAGAGACATTCCAGCTGCTATCTGAGAAGGCTCTGGCCCCAAAAATATTTAGTTAGCAGCCGTTCAGTTAAGTGGAATTGACTTTTTATCGGCGTTCTTGTGTGCGTCTGCCACCGGCGAAGGCTGTTTCCTCCTTGTGGGGCTGTCAGCCCAGGGCTGTTCCTGTGGGCAGCCCTGAGCTCTGATCAATACCAGCACTGCAGCAGCTCATGCATGGCTGCTCAGCTCCATTGATCTGCCCTTCCAACAGGTACCAGCTCTGGAGCCAGCACCTTCACATCAACACCTGCTTGTACTGCAGGCTCCTTCCTTCTGGGGGGCTTCAGAGACGCCCACGGCCCTTCTCTGCCGACTTGCAGCAACTTCTGTCCTGCCTGGGACAGCCCGTGACCCCACTGCTCCCCAGCCCATCCCTTGGGACAGCCAGCCTGTACAAACCCATACAAAACCATGCAAGCACTTCCAAAGCACTCAGCGTGAGAATGACACATCAGACTGAGTTAGGAGAACTCAATTAGGAATTTGTGCATTGATGGGACGTAGAGCATCTGCAGCTGTCCCAGCACTGCTCCTCACAGGGCCTCTCTTCTGTCCCAGCTGGGATCTGGGGGCTGTGTCCCCATGTCCCCATGTGCCCCAGCAGGATGGAGCATCCCCAGCCTGGGCTGGCACTGGGCATCACCCACAGACTCCCTGGGGCAGGGATACCTGCAGGGGGTCAGAGGTTCATTGTGCCAAGGGTACCGCAGGGAAACTGCTCACACAGCAAATATGTCCTCCTCCAGCAGAGCCCTCACCCAGCAGAGGCTCTTGCTGGAGCACAGAGCACCTGGGTTTCAGGGTGGCAACTTCAGGGCATCTGTTGTGGTCAGATGCCACAGCAGGACAGGAGATAATGGACTGTGAACACTGACTGGCCACCAGCAGTGTGCTCTTGGCACTCCTCCTTACTTGCTGCTGTCCCCAAATCTAGCAGCATTTAGGGAACTAGTGACTATTTTGGAGGAACCCATCAGCTGTCCCTGCACAGATGTGCTCCCTGCCAGGCCACTCCCAGCCTGCTCCGTGGGCTGGCAGAGGGCACAGGGGCACATGCAGACACAGGGGCTCCAGTCTGGCAGGTAAATGGCCGTGGCTCAGACCTGTCCAGCCTGGAAAGCCTCTGAAGAAGTCAGAGAGGCCTTTCCCGGTTGGTTTGTACATGTGCCTTTACAGAAGGGCTGCAGGGCTGCCACAGCAGCTACGAACTTCCAGTGAAATGAGTGTTTATTATGATAGGATTGATGCAGCTCCCAAAAGACCCTAATCAACAAGGCCTCAAGAGAGCAATTAGAAATCTGAACTTTAACTCTCTTATAACCACAGTGTAGGAAGTGACTTCTGCTCCAGTTTGGGGTTTGCCACCTGGCATGTGAACGAGGGGGAAATACCAAAAGCCTGAAATACCAAAAACCTGAAATACAGAATAACTGCAGACAAGTATTTGAGCAATGAGGTACAAGGTCCATTTCCATAGCAAGTGAATGTGTGTGTGGCAAAAAGCATAATGGTTTAGGGGGATTCATGCCCAAATTTGCAGCCTCTCTATCACATCTAGGTGTTTTCAATGCTGCTTCTCAGCTTTAGACGAGCACCCAGGGTGTTCAGTGCCTGTACATGTGCAGCATCTTCCCCCCTTTAAAGAAAAAAATTACCTCAGTTTTCCCACTTGTGAAATAACAACAAGATCTGCCTGAAGGCAACACCAGCCCTGGAGATGCAGGTTTGCTCAGAACTTGTTTTGAATACTTTGGACGGGCCACTTCAGACAGGAACTGCACATTGAGTAATTCTTGCCGTAGAAAGTCACGTGGCTACTGGAAAGCAGAAAATTGCATAAGAGCCCATCTGTGTAGCACAGCTGAGCTGGGGAGTGTTGGCTGAGAGGGCTCCTGCTCCAGCAGCCCACCAGAGCCAGGGGGCACTTGGCTTCCCAAGGAGCTGAGCCAGCAGCAGCAGCACACATCCCCAGCTGGGATACACCCGGGCCTTCAGCCTTAGAGGGGTGTTCTTCAGAAGTGTTCCTTTCCTGATTTCTCCTGCTGAGGTGCCAGATGTTGGAATGCCAGGCTGTAGCTCCCTGGGGAGCTGGGCCAAGGCAGTGGCAGTGGAGCAGGAGGAGGCTCAGCAGGGCATGGGGCACTGCCTGCAGTTACCTGTGGGTAACACAGCTCTTGTCCCCAGCAGGTACAGCTGAGCCCTCTGTCAGGGGTGGGAGCGCCCAGCGTGGAATGCAGCCACCCACTGCCCACTCAGACTTAGCAGGGGCTGCTGGCAGTGCCATCAGGGCCAGGGTCCTGGCCCCAGCCAGGGCTGGGAGGAGGAAGGGCTGCAGCCCTGCCAGCTCTCTGCAAGGACAGCAGGGCAGGGCAGGCCCTGCAACCTGCACAGCCAGGTGAATTTTACATGTCCCAGCCTTAAAAAAATGTCAGGTCTCAAAAGCTTCATTTGATGTATAACTGGAGCCAGCAGAGGGAGTGAAATGCAGGGACACTGTAGTGTCCATGGAAAAAGGAGCTGCCAGGCTTTGACCCAGGTGCCTCTGGTTCAGTGGCACATCTCAGAACCCAAAGGGAGGGTTCTGGCCCAGCCCTGGGCCACAGGTGACACAGATATGGATCAACAGAGGCAGGTGATCACTTGTAGGAGTGAGGGGTTGTCTCTTGCATCCTTATCAGTGGAAAAAATCGGTGTTCTTGGGGCTAACATTGAATGTTTCCAGTATGAAGAAGGCATCCAGAGGAACCTCAATCTCTCAAATAATTCCTGTTCCAAGGGGATCTGAGTGCTGTCCCCATGAATAGGTTCAAATGCTTTATCTTCTGGCACTGTTCATACAGTCCTGAGAGTGACCATGTAACATATAAACATATATAACATATAAACATATATAACATATATTATAACATAGATAGTCCTGAGGAGGAGCTGAAAACCAGCGATGCTGATACTGCTCCTTGTTCTCTTATGCCTCCAAAATGTCCTGGTCTTGGCATCCTCCTAAGCACTAAATGTGACAGACATGTTCACAAACAGCTTCTTGATGACTTCTTAGTTAACTTCCTTCTTCAAAAATAGCAATTTTGCAAATGGATTAGTTCTTCATCATGCACTTAGGATTTTTTTTAGACTCATCTTTAATGTGCCTTCAAAGACAGAGATCGTTTCCCCTTTTGACTGAGCGTTGGCCATCCTCATTCACCGTTTGATTGGTAGAGATTGGACATGATCTTTACTAAACTCTTTAGGAACGTGGGAGCTTCCTCCCAGCTGCCTCTGAAGGAGAATTTAGAAAAGTTTTTTAATCTGTGTGTTTATGCACCAGTTTCCAAAGAAACACTTGTTTTAGCAAAATGCTAAATTGTAACAAGTTGGTAGCTTTAATAATTGCCTTGAATACTGTGGAATTAGCTTAAAATAAGTTTTCCTTCTTGAAATGAGATTATGTTTGTGCCTGGATCAAGCAACTCTGCACCAGTCTTGAACTTGTTAAAGATGGAAATGAGAATAACCACTGCAGTATTGAAATGGTAAAATGAGAACAGAATGGCAATTGGCCAGTGTTTATGAATCAGAGAATATGATCATGAAATCATAAGAATAACCACCAAAAGGTAAATAAATTACCCGACCTACTACTTATTTTCATGTGCAGCTTGACACAAAAGCTGAAGCCATGAATGATTTATACCTGTTTTAACAATAATACTCATTTTCCTGAAAGATGGTCAGCACTCAGGCTGCTGTGGGCACCGTGCCAGTCATTGAAAGGTTAATGTCTCAGCAGCAATACATTAAATTATGAATTATACCAGTCCCAAAATGGAAGGTTATTAGCTCGGTATGTTTAATTAGCCCGGCTCGAACTTTGCCATCTGCCAGCAGTGCCCATCACTAATGCACGGCCACGTGGGGTAGGAGGGGTGGCAATGAGATGCCAGAAGCAGCAGCCACTGTCCTGGGCCAGCCCAGCTCACCTGCCCAGCTCTGCCCCTGGCAGCCCTGGCACTGCCACCCCCTGTGCCCCACTGCCCACCAGAGCCGTGTCCTGGGCACAGCCCAGACCCTGCCATGACGGGGGAGGCCAGACAGGTGTGGGCCCAGCACACCTGAGCCCCAGATGTGGCAGCAACATCTGCCAGGGAGCGCCCGGAGCCGCGGGGCGTGCGGGGCCAGCTCGGGGATGTGGGAATCCTGCCGGGGTTTTGTTTGCACAGCATCTCCTGCCAATAACTGCACAAGGCTACAACATTGAGCTTTTCAATAAATATTTAAATTTTGCTTCTTTGCTTATTTATTTTTTTAAAAGAACAAACAGTAAATTCTGTTGGGTTTTTTATTAGCGAAGATGATGGGATGCTTTGGAAACATAATGCACTTAGTATTGCAATAACTTGATGACTTCCTGTGACTTTGCTCTCGGGGAGCCTGTGTGCTAAAACTCGGGTTGGAACTGTGTCCTGGAAAACGTGGGGCAGGATCTGAACTTGCAAGAAGCCAAACCAAACCTTAATTTTAATTCTTATTTTTGTAGGTAGGATAACCTTGCCAAAGAGGAAAGGAATTTGGACAGACTTAACATCCAGCCTGTGCAGCTTCCACGAGCTGGACGCTAAAATGAAGAGAGAGTTTATTCATTCCCATCTCAACACAGCCCACCAGAATTAAAAGACATTTGAACCTACAAGGGGGATTGGGTCAAACGCTTCCCAAGCTGCCTGCACAGAGAAGGCTGTTCAAATCCTCTGGCCACCAAGTCCCCACATTTCTGTGCTGGATGTGAAGAGCAAAGGGAGCCTGGCAGGAATCAGGAGGCGTCCAAGTAAGAGACAGCACCAGGTAGAGGCTTGATTCCTTTTCCTTAATATTCTTGCAGTATGCAGTATATACATTATTTCTTCTCCTCCCCTTGAACTTTTGGTGATTTCCTCTTCTCCACATCAGTGCAGCCTCTGTAGTTGTGCTTCTGGAGCAGGTGGCATGGTTGGAATATTGGAGCAGTGTGTATTAGAGTGAAACCTACAGACAGAAATAGAAAGTAAATGGAAGATGAATTGATCAGAGGAAAGGCAGAGGATGGAGGGGATAAAGTAAAGGCAAGGAGAGAGACAAGTAATACCTTGCCTGTGTGCTATGGTAATTTATTATTTTTATATGGTGCCCGAGGTGTGCAGTATCTGTTTTACTGAACAAATAGAAGAGTTCTCAGCCCCAAACAGCCAACATATTAATTTATTGTGTGACAGCCTGACAAAATGAGCAGCCAGGCCAGTGTGACGAGGAATAATTTAGTGCTTGTGGAGCATGAGCAAGTTCACTATTGGTACCCTCACTTGTATATGGCATCCAATGGACAGCTCTTGTTTGTAAGGACTTACTGCACAAGAAACGTTTCCCTTTCAGGGGAAATCTGACTGGGGGCTGTCTTAGGGCATGGTACAGGGCTCTGACGGGAGGAGCAGCCTGCTGGGTCAGTACACTGGGAGGGGAGGGCTGAGCCCCAGCCTGGCACAAACCCCAGAGCAGGGTGTGCAGGGACAGGCACAGGGCAGCCAGATGTGGGGAAAAGTGAAGGCAGGGACCGGGGAGGGAAAGCTGGAGTGTTTGCTGTGAGCTGTCTCGGGCTGCAGTTTCCAAGGAGCCATCCAGCTGGGACAGAAGGAGATGACCTGAACCAGCAGGCTCCAGTGGGAGAGGCTCCAGTGCAAACCTGCCGTGACCGCGGCACCGGGGGAGCAAGAGCTCAGTTGTTTTCCAACACAGTTATTGCCACTTAAATTGCAGTTTTATTCCAAAAGCAAATTCCAAAGTTTTATGTCCATAAAGGTTTAGACATAAACAAGAAAGAAGTCAGGAAAGTGGTATGTACTGTGTAAACAGTCTCACTTTATAATTAATGCTGGAGATCAGGGAGCAGGAATGGCTGTGCATGTGTGGTCATTCAGATTTACTGTTGCTCTGATTAAAACCTAGTTGGGCAATAATTTTATGCCCAGGTAGGGGCAGGAGGAGAGCAGGATGCCCCCAAGCAACCCGTAAATAGTGTGGTGAAGACAAAGCGTTTATTACTTAGCTTCACAACGGCTCTGTAAGTGCTCTCCCAGGGTAGGTATACTCATACCCCAGATGCCAATTCTGCAAATTAGCATTATTTCTCAAAATCCTGTGTAAATAGAAGTCATTTAAATACTTGATTTCATCAGACAGAGTCACCTATGGAAATGTCAGTCTCTTTTTCTCCCTTTTGTGGGGTGAACAGAGGTTTTCACTGCCTGGGTTTTTGTTTCTCCTGGAATACTTTCACTGATGGCAGAACCTGGCAGGGTCTGGGATCCATACAGGACTCAATCTGCAGGATTCTGTCCCATCTCAGTGCCTCATGCTGATGTAAAAGCAACTCCGAGGCATAAACGTTAGCATTTATCACTGAAATGTGCTATTTTGAATCTTCTATCTAGTAGTTTACATTACTGTGCCAAAAGTGGTTTCGTAGCTAAGACACACAGGGAATTTTAGGGATTTGAGATTCTGTCAAAGTAGCATTGGGATGTTCCTGTTCACCTGCAGTTTATTTTTTAATCATAATTGTTTGTACCTGCTGATGTTTTGAATTCCAAGAGTTAATTCCAGAGAAACAGGGAAGGAAGAAAAGAGCAGGCGAGCTTGATCAGAGGGGCACCATGAAAGGACATGGTTTCATGGAAACACAACATCCCATCTCATGTGCTCTGCTCCATCGGAGTCACTTTTGGACCCGTTGTACAGGCTGGGAAAATGGGGCAAAACCTGGGGGCAGTGGGCTCTGAGGTGCATTTCTGGGCACTTCCAGCATGCCCCGTGTCCCGTCTGAGCTGCTCCTTCATTGCAGACAGGGAGTCTGTGGCAGAGCTAGGAATAGAATCCATCCCTTGTTCCAACTCCCAGATCCTCAAGAGTATTTTTAGGTACTTAATACCATTAATTTTATACTCTTTTTGGCCAATGATCTTAGAAAAAAGATCATGCTTCCTTCTGAAGTATTTTTTTTAATCCTACTTGTGTGCTCTTGGACAGCTTTTTTTTCAGGGATTGTGTACAGTTTAGTGCTATTTAGGAACAAATGCACTTAAAAATTAGTTTTGGGAAGAGTTCTGCATGGACTGTGCTTTTGTGCAGCCTCGAAGTGTGAGTAAGGATGGGGAGGAGATGGTGCAGAGTCTTTGCGTTGTGCAGGGCAAACAGAACCCGGCTGTGAGGGGCTTGGGCAGAGGGCAGCTCATGTTGGCATGTTCAAGCTGATAGAAAAGGGGGAGAAAAAGTTCTACGTCTCCAGATTTCTACACACAATCATATTTTTCATTGTGCTAACTCAGCAAACCCCTTTAAGCCCTGCTCCAGCATCCTATCTATTATTAATTAATTGATTTCCTATAAGCTCATTATTTAGTTTGCCTGAGTTCCTGACAGGCTGCTCAGCTGCAGACAGTGGAACAGCTCCTGTCACAAAGGAAAACAGATGGAAAAAGCCAGGCCAGGCAAAGGGGAGGCTGGGACTGGACATTCAGGAGGTGCTGGACAAAGCTCTCAGGCTTGTGCTGGGATTCTTGGGCCTGTAATTGTACCTGATATTCCTCGCAGGCTCCTTCCAGCTCAGGATATTCTATGATTTAGTGATTAGGAAAAGTTTCTTCACTGAAAGTGCTGTCCAGCCCTTGCACAGGCTGCCCAGGTCAGTGGTGGAGTCACCAGCCCTGGAGGGGATTTCAGAGGTGTGTGGGTACAGCACCTGGGGACACAGGTTAGGCCGTGGGTTAGGACAGGGGTTACTGGTGTCCTGGGCAGTGCTGGGGGAACTTTTCCAACCCAAATGACTGTAGAGCAGGGTGGGAGAGCAGCTTCCCGAGGTGCAGGCACTCATCAGGTGAGCAGAGTTTCCCTGCAGGAAGGGAAGGTCTCGAGGGGTGCTTTAGGGACTGGGCATAGGGACCAGGAGGACAGGGAGGAATCGTGAGTGGGACAGGTTCGAAGGGCTCTCTGTGCTGCTGCTGCTGCTCCAGGTGCTGCTCCAGGTGCCGCAGGCTCCTCTGCTTTGCTCCATCCTCTGCCTCACCCGGTCCAGCTCGGGTGGTAAACGTGCTTATTGCAGCGCTAATGTCCTGCAAGTGGGATCCCACCTCCAGGTATATTAGAGTAATGAGTTCACACCTAACTAATGGAGACTTAATAGAGTTACTAATAGGCTGCCTTTTCCCCCCACGGTTTATGACCCCGGGCCGGGGCTGTCAGGGGAGGGAGAGGTGAGAGGCAGGGTCAGCCCCGGCCCCCGGCCCGCCAGCCTTTCCAGGGACATCGTCTCTGCACCTTTCTGCAAGGAAAAATAAACAGTTTGAGGCTCCTGTGTCTTTATTAAACATTTCCTTTAAGCTGCATACTTTGGCTCCCTGCCCAAATGCACCAAGAAAGAAAGAAAGCATCCACAGAGCAGCTCGGCCGCGGGCTGCAGCGAGCGGCCCCCGCGGGGGCGAGCACCTGCGTGGCCGGCTGTGGCCAAGGTGTGGCCGGCTGTGGCCAAGGTGTGGCCGGTGCCCCGGGGCTGCCGGAATGTCGGGAGCAGCCCCGGGGCACAGGGTGCGGGCGGCGAGCAGCGGCAGCACGGTGCTGGCCCCGGGCCGGGCGCGGCTGCGACGTGGCAGCCAGGTGGGCAGCGCGGGGCACCGCGTGTGCCACGGGCCACGGGCCACGGCGGGGCCGAGCCGGCAGCGGGGGCACGGGGAAGGTGGCGGCGATCCCGGGGCCCGGTTCGGCTCGGCTCGGGGAGCGCTGCCCGGTGCCCGGTGCGCGGTGCCCGGCGGTGGCGGCCCCGCGGCGGGCGCGGCTCGGCGGCGGCGGCGGGGAGGGAGGGAAGGAGGGAAGGGAGAGAGCAGACAGGCAGGGAGGGAGAGAGGCAGGCAGGGAGGGGGCGCGGCGCTGATGTCAGAGCGGCTCCGGCCGGCGCTGCCAGGTAAACAGCCGGGAACAGCCGGGAACCGCCGGGGAAGGCGGCGGGGCGGGCCGGGCCGGACGAGCCGCCCGTAACCCCTTCGGGCCCGGCCGCACTGCGGGGCTCGCCCGCGGCACCGGGGGCTCCCGGCGTGGGCAGCGATCCGGCCGGGGACAGGGACAGGGACAGGGACAGGGACAGGGACAGGGACGGGCGCTGGTGGCCGGCGCCGCTCCTGCACCATCCCCAGAGCTCAGGTACAGGCGGCTGTGCAGCGGCTAAGAATATCCTTAGTCTGCCTCATTCACCAGAAATGTGCCTTCTCTGCGACGCCTTCGGAGCAGCCCAGCAGTTAAATTAGTAACTCCGATGAAAGCTAGCAGTGCTGTTTGGTGACAGGGTTTCTAAATCCCTGTCATCCCGGACAGCGTGTGGATGGAGCCATCCTGGAGCCTGAGCCTTGATTCCCCTGGGCCAGCATCCATCTCAAGGGATGCACAGCTCTATGCAGGCTCTGCCTGGAGTGGGACTGGATCTGGATCTTTATCAGGCGGGACAGGGTTGGGTTTTTTTTCAGACATAGTCCAGTAAATACTGTGCATCATCTGTATGTCTCTCCTGTCCAGAGTGGCAGAGAGGAACTGCAAGGTAGGGAGCTGAGGAAAAGCCCCAGAGAGCCTCTGCTGATGGCCAGGTGCCTGCTTCTCCCTGCTCAGCACTCTGCTTTCCCCCCAGAAAACAAAGCTGCCGTCATACGAGTGCCCATAAAACACGAGGCATCCTGAGTGCAGAGATTAGTGGTAATTTTACAAGGATTCAAATAACGTCGGTCTGCAGGGTGCAGCACTGCCTTGAAAGGGAACAGCAGGCATTTCCCCTGGAAGCAAGTTTCCTCCTTAGAGCAGTTTACAGCCGAGGTGCAGTGTCACATTGTGGCACAAATACACTGTCAGCCTTTGGTTTGGAAGATGGACATCTGATACCTCTTTCTGCTGCCAAAATGCACTGCCCAGACCCAACTCCCAGCACGGTTATTTTTTGAAGCATTATGTAATTGGATTGCATGGTCAGTAGTGCTTCCTTAACAAGCCTTTCAGCAAACCCTCTGCCTGCTGCAGCCAATCCTCAACCCTTACATGCACACTTACTCACGCAGGCTCAGTCTGGAGTAAACTCGCTGCTAAATACAGTTAGAAAACAGACGAAGCCAGGCTGGGAATAGATCATCTGCTCCCCGCACTACGTGAGCCGTGCTGTGGCCCAGCCCCGGTGCCGCTGGTGTGAAAACGGGGTCATGCTGACATATCCCAGCTGAGGGGTCACTGCTGCCTCCTCTGCCCTGCCTCTCCCTAACGGGGTGAAAATCTGCTTTTTGGAGCACCCAGAGGCCACTGGGAGCCTGTGTCCTTGTGTGCTGTCACCCTGCCACCACTGCCCTGAGCTTTGGGGACGAGCTCTGGGACACCTCTCCGAGGGTGCTCGGGCCCAGGGCAGCAGGGCCTTTATGGCAGGTTTTGGGGTAAGCTGGAGGGTGGATTCAGAGCCACAGCTCCCTGCGCCTGGCTCGGCCCTTTGCTGTGTTTTCCAGGAGCGTCCCTCTGCTCCAGCCGCTGTCAGCCCACGGGTTATGGCTCTGCTGACTCACGGCTTCCTGTTTGTGATTGCTGACTGGTGGCAGCAATTGCAGAAGCAATAAGAGATATTAAAAAGCGTGAACTTCCACTGGGACCAGGAGATACAATTAGGGCTGTGCCAAGAAATACACTGCAGCGAGCTGCGGAGCCCTGCAGCCCCCCGTTCCCTTGCTGCAGGAAGTAGGAAAATGAACATCACTGGCCTTTTATCATCTCTGAACCCAAATAAAAATTGCATTTGACTTCTGAAGCTCACTCTGGCTCTTTTCCATGCTCCTCCTCAAAGCCTTTGATCCAGCCTTCTGTCTGGGTCTCCTCTACCTGCTGCTGCTGCTGCTGAGATGTAGGGATCCGTGTTCTGTGCTTTCACCTGACTGATGCTCTAGGAAAAGCCTGCATGAGGCTGTGTAAAGAGGCTGCTTTAGAAGGCATGCACAATGTAATATTATTTCCATTCTTTTTTGTGGGAAATATCTCTGGGGAGAAGCATGAAAGTATATGGAGAAGGTGCTCTTTGATCAGAAAGGTCTAAATGCAGCATCCAAACTGCATGTCTATTTCTTCATATTATGCTGAAATTCATCTTAAAGTGCTACTCCTGTGTGGGCATTTCCCTGTTTCTTCTTCCTTGGCTTCAGCATTTGGAAGTATTGCCATCAGTTTCGTCTTCATCCCTGGAGGGGATTGTCCCCAGAATGATTTTGCCACCCTGTTGTTACTGTATATATCAGTCTTTCAATGTGTGTTTTAATTCCAATTTTAGCCTGATTGTCAGAATGTATGTTCTGGTTATTCAGCTGAGGACAGGAGCTGGAGGATGGTGTTCTATGGACTGTGTGTCACTGGAGGACAGTACATATGCTGAGGCTGGTCTTTGATGGATTGAAGCTACAGTAGTTTGCAGCTAAGAAAAAATCACTTCCCTTTTGTACAGGCATTAAACTGACTTTTAAATTTTTTTTAACTCTGTGACAGACATAGGGACGAGAACTGGTACAGAGAACAGACATTAGGGGAGGAAAAAAATCCACCCCAAAACCTCAGTTATTTCAACACATACCAAAAGTGGATTGACAGTGGATGAAGAGGAGGAGGAGGCAATAGTGAACACACAACACAGCTCAAGCTGGCAAGGAGCCCTTTCTTGAAGAATGTAAGTTTAACCTTTAGCATTCAAGTGTCTGGGCTTAAGTGTCATTATGAGCAATACTTTCCTCCAGCACAGCCTCTCCTGCTTGGAGGAGGGTTCTGTGCAGCTCATCCATTTTCCCCTTTCCCATGTATAAAAATACGGGTTTCTGGTGGCACGTGCTCCACCGAGTCCCTTCTGGTGGCAGAGCCTCTGGGCACAGGGAGGGTGGCCCTGGGTGGGTCCAGGCGAGGGTCTGCCTGCCCGAGGGGGCTGTGGAGACTCGGCCACGGCTCTGGACTGGAGGAGTGAGGCTTTGGGCTTTGCTGGTCGAATTTAGGGTAAAGGTTTTGTGCCTTGAGCTCACAAGTGGAGCTGGCTGGGGCAGGAGTGCCCCCAGGGCAGTGGCTGTGCCCGGGCCTGGGGCTGCCCAGCAGCACACCGGGCACCTCGGATTGCTGTGGCCACGGGAGGAAAAGGGATCTGCTGGAAAATTGATTTTGGGAGAAGCAAACTCAAACGAGGAACGGGAAGGGATGGAGCTGGTGTTGCCATTGTCGTCATCGCCCCTTCCAGTGCCAACCTCACCTTTTGATGGAGACACAGAGAAAAAAATTAGAAAGACAGCAGCAGATGAACATCAGACCTGGCTGTGGACAGGCTGCATGTGCCCCCTCCCCCCCAAATCATCTCCAGCTGTAAAACACTTCAGGGCTGATAGAAACCACACGCAGCCCAGCCATAACCCAATCTGCAAAGCTGCATTCCAATAAAAACGCAGCATGGACCTAAAGGAAACACTGTCCAGGATTGCCGTGGCAGGATGGGTGCTGGGGGAGGCAGGGGCACAGCGAGGCCCCAGCCCCCCCTGCTGCTGCCTGGCTCGGCACAGCCCTCCCAGGGCACAAATGAAAGCATTGTTGGCCGGGCTGTGCTGGGGATGGCTGCAGTCACAGCCCGGGCCCCCAGTTTGAGCACATGTCAGATGTGCTCACGTTAAATACAGGTACAGCGTGCAGAGCGCGGCTCCTGCACACGCCCTGCCTGATGGATTTTGCATCCCGTGCTTGTGATTTTTCTGCACAAAGAGGTACAGGTTTTAGAGGAATAAGAGCAGATATTTACAAAGAGATAACGATGAACTGTTTGATTAACTGCAGCAGAGATGCTATGTCAGATCTGATTTCTCACTGCTCGCAGCACAGGGGTGGAGGACGTGGTTACTATATAGTAAGTGCAGCTGGTGCTGCTGCTTAACTTGGTGAATAATTCAATGCAGACTTTCCTGCAAATCTCCAGCTTAATTCTGAAATAAGTCGGAGGGAAAGAAGGCCGATGGACTATTTTCCAAGGAGCATTTGGTACCTGGCTGGCACGGAGATGAGAGGGTTGCATTGCTGCCACTGCTCCTGTGCCAGCCCCTGGCCTGACAGACCCACACCAGCCCCCAGACAAGCCAAGGTGTCCTGGTCTCCCTGCTGACACACTCTGAATTCTGTGGAAAGCACCCTGTAGTCCAGAATTCTTCTCAATGCTGAAAACATGGGGATTTTCCCCTAATTCTGGGGGAACTGTAATTTAATTTTGTAACTTACTTCCCTCTTTTTTCCCTTTAAGATGGTTCCCAAGAATTTATTGTGGGATTTTTCATTTAAAATAGTTTTCTAGGGAAATTACTGTGACAGTGATTTAATTGTTTAATTAAAATCTGACATTGATGACAACATAAATACAATAGGCACGAGGTGATACAGGCATTAAATAAGTGCAATTGTGGAATACATCCATAGAGTACTCTGAGCACATGGAGCCGCTCACAAAGAAATGATGTTCAATATTTATCAGGTTAGTGACTCCTAATTAAATGCCAAGACTTTTTTCTTCATTTCTCTCAAAAAGCCAAGAAACATATAGATGTATTCCAAGTGTTTATTTCCATGGCAAACACATCCACTTGTGTTACGGCCTGCAAAACAAGCAGATGCACGTTACAAACCTGCTGTCTGACTGAGGGGTGTTTACTGAGCCTGACTGCTGCAGCCCTGCCAGCTTTGGGGACAGCTGGAATAGCCCACAGAGGTCCTGTCACTCCCACTGCCTAGAGCACGATGTCTTTTAATAATCAGGTAAAACCCCAGAAACATATTGGAGACAAAAGAATGAATGTTCCTTTGAACATCCCCCCCAGCCCAAACCTCCCCAAAAGCATTTCTTCTAGAGCAGTAGTCTGTCCCCTCCAGCGTCCCCATGTCTCAGGAATAAGGGCAGCAGCCTTCCCAGTAACTGAGGCAAACATGACTCCAGAAGAAATCCCTGCTATCTGCCTGAAATTGCTCAGCAGTGTGGCTCTCCAGCCGTGCTGCATTTTTGCATCCCAACAATGACTGTGCTGCTGCTGGAATATCCCTTCCCCTGCTTCTTGCTGGGCGTCTCTAAATGGTATCAGCTCACTTCTGTGGCTCAGCAAGCCCTGTGCAATCCATCGCTGCCCTTTCCCCTTCCAAACCCACAACAAACGCATCTGCTCCAGCTCCATTCCCCTCAGCCTTCCCCCCTTCTGCTCAACTCCACACAAACAAACTTTCCAAAGGAAAGGCTAGCTTACCTGGCCAGTGCTTTGGCCATAGAGTCATACAAAGTGAGCAAGGCAGACATCCTAACTCCAGCCCAGAGATTTGATTGCAAATTTCCATTGCAAAGGAGCAGAGGGAACTGGAAATCTGACAAATGCCTTCAAATTGACCTGTGTTTCCACAATGCACGCAGTGTTTAAAATGAATGGCAGACTTTATCATTTGGAGCTCCTTCAAGGACTCTGGCCTTCCATGCTTTGTTCTGATTCTTCAGACACATTTCCAAGAAGCACACAGCTATGGAAGTGGATGATATTGCGGAGACTTTTTTCTAAGCTGGATCTCCCCCCTCCCAACAATAATTTTTTAAAGCCTGAATTTTAAAAGATATCCTGGAACTTTTTTTACCTCTCCCCATACATCAGTGCCTTGTGCCCCGTCAGCCTCTGGCACGGCAGAGCCTTGGCCCAGTCCCCCCGTGCTGGGCGGCGAGCAGCGGGATTTGCTCGAGGATCCCTAAAAATTGTCACCACAGCCCTGTGCAAATGCAGCCCACCCCTGCCTCCCGAGCCCCTCCTGAGCCCCTGGCAGCCAGGTCATGTCTCCAGGGGAGGACCTGATCTCCCTGCAGAGCCCAGGGAACCGGAGCTGCTCACCCCCGTTTTACACGGTAAAGATAACAACCATCCTTGCTGAGAGTCCTGTCCAGAAAGCCATATTCACTGCCTTGGAAAAACATTTTGCTTCAAAGTTGTTCCTTTTAATTTGTATACATTTCTACAAATAATAACTTCCCTTTAAAGCGCCGCTATTCGTTCCGTCTGTTCAAAATAACATAGAAATGAAATGATACAAATCTTCGCGCAAATACATCAGATATGCCATGAGACAAAAAAATGGGTTAATCTAATAATTCAGCTGTGTCTTTAGCAAGTTTCCTATGGGAAAAATCAGTCTTATTTTCCCTGCAGATCTGATACTAAGAGCTTCTTTCTGCTAAGCACATTAAAAGCTATTTGAACCCAAAATCCCATCGACGCGTATGCAGAGATACACATATAGAAACAAGAGGCACCCACACAATTACAGATGAGGCTGTATCAAAATTTCTAATTAAAGTAAGGGAAGCCCCTTTTTATATTTTAGCAACCAGATTGTCTTTTTGCCTAGAACAAAGAAATCTTACGGGAAGTAAATTTTTTAGAGAAGACACACGTGCACATACATGTAATCATACCTAACAATTTCTGCACGAATTATCCCTTAATTCCTCGGCTGTGTTTCGGCGTTTGCGTAGTGGTTTATCCGCCGGTCCTGCAGCCGTCACTTGTTCCTTCCCTTCTTTTCACACACAGCCTCCCCTCATCACCTCTTTTTGCAACCTGGAAAACTGGGAGCTCTCTCTCTCCCCAGCCTGCAGACATCTGTGTCCAGGACGAGGGGCAAACCTCTGCCCTCTGCTCATCTGCTGCTTCCCTTCGCAGCCTTGCTCCTGCCTTGCCAGGAGGGGAGGGAGAGATGTCCTAGGACTTGACCCCGGGGCAGAGCCTGCTCGGGCTGGAGCAGCTCCCAGGAGGGTGGGGGGGCCGAGGGCGCACGCCCCTCTCCCCGCTTAACCCCTCCGCTGCTCCGGCCGGCCCTGCTGCCCTGCTCCCCGCCGGAGCACCCGGGCTCGTCCCGAGCGTCACGGAGAAGAAAAGCCGGAGCAGCGAGGGGCTGAGGCAGGAGGGCTGCGCGCAGCACGGCCAGGGGAGCAGCGGGATCTGCGAGCAGGGGATGTTTGGTTTGTGTTAACTACCCAGACAGATGCACTTCGGCATGTTTGCCTTTATGGGATCCATATGTTGTCATGGGAAATTAGAGGACAGCGGCGCACAGCTCGAACTGGCGATGCAGCGCAGAGAGCATCCATGGCTCAGCCCGCGCCGCTCCGTCCCTCTGGAGGTGCCGATTTCTGGAGCATCCACAGACACTCCTCTGCTCCCCAACTTCCCCACGCGTTTCCTCTCGCTTTGCTCTGCAAAAAGTGTGGCCACAGGCAGCACCCGCAGCCTGGGCCACCACATCCACAGCCTCAGGGGAAAGGAGGCACTTTTCTAACTTATCCCAAGTGCTAAAGACAAGGGTTACTTTATCCTCGCCTCAACTTCTTCCTCAACCCACGTTTGGTTCACGTTCAGCAAGAACAACAGCTACAAATTACATGCACCTTCCCAGGCAGTGCACCAAGCAGCCCCGAAAAATTCTGATTCCCAACAGTGCTCCACGGTTTGGGGCTTGGTTGGTTTTT